GTATAACGCGGGCGGGCCCGACGGGCCCGGTAACGTCGCAGCGATAAAAGAAATCCCCCCGCGCCCTTTCTGGCAGCGGCCTTGCGAATCGCTCACATTTGCGAGACCGCGTGATTCAGACGCGCGATGCGAGTGATTTATTTGCGGAGAGGCGCGAGCGAGCCTCTTCTCGGAGCGTACGATTTAAACGCGCAAAGCGCGAGCCTGTCTTCAGGGATGACGGACAGGGTGCCGCGGGGACAGTGTGGATCATTCACAATGTCTTGTTGAAATTACAAGCATGTCGTGACGAAGCATTCGGCCGGTGGTAGCCGGAGCTATGACTTGTGTACGACAGCGCTGGCTCTAAAGTGTTAAGATAATGAGCCGCGGGACACGCAGTACGGCTGCAATCGCAAATTAACTGCCACTTCGTTCCGCGTGCGGATAATATATTTGCGGAAAATAAGGCGGCGCCGCACGGACGCCGGAGTCCTCGATGCTTCGACAGCGGAAGCTTCTCCGCGTCGAAATTTGCGCTCCGTATCAGCCTCGCAGGAGCCGTCGTACCTTGAAGGATCGCTGTCGAGTGGCTATGCGGATTGTTATCTTTTCTCGATATTAAGTAAGGAGAGAAGAAACGAGCTTTCTTCGGCCTCGATTCGTTTCTTGTTATTCCGTAATTAATTAAGAACAGTATAATCGCATGCATGGCATAAATTATAAATCCCTTGGACCGTGGGTGAAAAAGAATGTTTTTACTTCAAGTAGATGCAGGTCAATCGGCGATTCATAATTCGTCATTGATTCTCCAGGCTCGATAGCGCCTGCGGGATCAACATAGAGCCGACATGTCGACTCGGCTGTTGACTATAACTTAGAATCTAGCGGAATAAAAATCGTCAGTTTGAGATAATTATTCAAGGTTATCGAGGCAATTCAGTGCCTTGATTCGCGCCGAAACCTGTTGATCAAAGCCGCGGAGTTGATTGATAAGTACAAAGTGATAACTTTTATCAGCCGCGAAGACGCGTTCGGAGAAAGATAGCTAATGCGATCTGTCTCGTCTCGCGACGTATCTCGCGAAAGTGAGGGAAACTTTTCGTCCGAGTGTGTCGATGATGCGACGCGGTGGAAATGCTGGAAATACGTCGGAAGCTGTCACCGAGCGAAGCGGATACGACGAATACGGGAGGATGCGAAATATACAATATATCTTACTCTTCGACGTTTGTTCCCGAGTGACACGTACGTTATTACGGGCGTCCAAAATTATTAGCGAAGCAACGTGAATTCCGTCACGCGCGGTGTACACATCAATACATGTCTGATAATTATCGATCAATATCCTTCATAAACTAGGATACTTCCAAAGTCTCCATAATTCATGGACGTACTCCCGGGTATCGCGCCGCCATTTCTAAGACGTCCGTCCCCGTCCCTCTTTCGAAGACGCTATCGCATTATTTACTCCTCATTATCGTCCTTAAATCACCCCGTCGCTCCGGGGAGACTCGAAACTGCCATTACCTCTCTTTAATCGGCAAATAATAAAAATCAGTCCGGTGCTTCAAGGCGCGCGATGGCTTCTCAATAAAGACATTGTCCGCGGAGCAAATTCTTATCCATTAAAAGGCGTTGTCGTCGTCGCCGTGTCGTCGTCGTCGTCCTCGGTGAGAACAGAACGCGCGCGCCATCCCCTTCTCATCTGCCCGAGACAAGGGGGACGAACGAACAAGGACCAAGGATACGACGTCGACAAGAGGAGGAACGGGATCGGAGATTATCGGCGCCCGGGATTACAACGGGCTCGAAGGCTTCGAAGCAAACGATTTCCTCGCGCGCGCGCGGGGGGAGGGAGGTACGAGGGAGCTAGGGACGGTAAAGAGGACAGAGGAACGGCGGACTGGTGGTTGAAGGCGACGGAAAAGGAGGAGTGGTTGTTATTGGCTCTAAGGAGGATACTTATTGAACTCTTAGCGGCGTTTTTATCACTCCTTTCTCACGCGCGCGCCGCTTTAAGTGTTTTTGGCTTTGTTTAAGGGTTCGTGTACATCCGCTCACCCCTCCACCCCCTCCTCCACCCTATCGGCCCATCGTTTTCGCCTCTCTCGCATTATACACTCTTAACAGGTCACGCTTCCTCCCATCCGCCCAGCCGCGCTCCTTTTCCTTTACCACGAGATTTTTACGGGCTCGACCTCCTTGCACAGCGCTTCGTAAACCACGCAAAGTGCACGGCACTAAAGGGTGCAACTACCACTTAGGCTCTTCCTGACCACTTCCGGAGGGGGGGGGGAAAAAGGCTTCGAGTAGCGGCGGATAACTGCTATTCTATATTACCTCTCGAAGATTTATCGACTTGGCCACTTGTATGCGCCCTGTTCGATTCGCCATTTAATCTGCATACCCTTTCTCTATCACTCGAAACGTGCGAGGTGAGCGAGGTATCTCAGAATAATAACGGTGATGCACCGCTGTGTTATCGTTATTATCTCTGGATTAATCGTTGTTTGCAATGTTCTCTGGAGACATTCTTTGGAGACTTTGCCTCAGAGTGACGAAAAAGTATAAAAAATATTGAAACTGCTTTCTCTCTCTCTCTCTCTCTCTCTCTCTCCCCCTCTCTCTCTCTTTCTCTCTTCCTCTTTTTCTCTCGCTCGCCCAACGACGCTATGCACGCCGGACGCAGACATATCATTCTCACTGTTACTGCGCGAACTTACAAATTAATTAAGTGCACGCTATTAATCGACTTTAATTGCGCATCTGCGAGCAGCGCGCAACGATTCGACATATCTCGCGCGCTCGCGCGCGCAACACTCTATTCCTAGACGAAACAAAACGCAGAAGCACGGAGGAGCGTCGGGCGTCTACAAGACGGCGGTAGTTTATTAGGCCAAATATTCGGCGGTAAAACTGAAGGATGACCGTCATTATCTCCATTCATCCGCGTCGCGCGGCAGCTGCGCGGCGTTGCAGCTCATGATTGCGGCGGGCAACCGAACGAACGAACGAACGAACGAACGAACGAACGAACGAGAGAGCGGGCGGCTCGCCCGCCTCTCCCCCCGGAGACGCTTTACGCGCTCATCGCGAGGCTATTTTTGCCGGCAGCGAGAAGCCGCGAGAGCTCGCGAACGCCCCTCCCCCGTCCCCCGGGTTATTTTACCCTCCCGATAAATATACGATAATGTTATCTCGCGCGGGGGTACGCCGCGCCGCCCGGCCGAGATCGCGGCCCGGCGAATTGTAATAAAAGGTCCGCGCGCGTCGCCATCGTCGGCATTCCGACGTTTTAACGACCCGGACGAGCGGACGAAAGTCCCGACATGTCGCTCTCGTTGCCGGCGCGAGGTCCCGACGCGACACGTCGCGCGCTCATCGTTACTAAATATATATCGAGATGCGCCTATTCGACCACGTGAACGCGCGCGACGCCCGAGCGCCGTGAGGCCGCCGAGGGCCCGGGGTTACGGAGGGGGCGGGGTTACGCTTTTCCAAATTGACTTTGTTATCTATTTCGATGGCTGATCGCATGATGCATCATTAGTTGCACGTTTACTACTTATAGCACGGAGTGAGAGTTCGCGTGGTGATTCCGCAGCGCGCACCGCTGCGCTGGAGTAATTTGAAACGTTTATCGCGAATCTAGGTCCTGATCGTTTATCTGTCTCTCTCTCTCTCTCTCGCTCGCTCGCTCGCTCGCTCGCGGGAAAAATGCCACGCGAGTTGCGGAACGGCTTAACCGAATTCATTACTCGCCGCTCGTGGGCCGATCATGCTCTCCAGCTAATCTTCCAGTGGGATTCGCCATGCGAAATCTACGGACACACGCGTCTGCTTCTAATTTACCAATTTATTTAATTCCGGGCTAAAAATATAAGCGTGACATTAAACAAGGTCGCGTGCGAGGAGGACGTTGCTTCGGCTCGACGTTATAAACAACGCTGCGACCGTACGTTCCGTACACGGCGAGAGAACGTGTTATGATTTCTTTCGAACCTTCCCGAAAGAATTTTGGGAATAAACCATCTCGGTAGAGATGATATCTCGCTAAAGAATCCCTCTCCTCCTCCCCCCCCCCCCGCCCCAGTAGCAGACTCCGGTTCGTAAAATATAAATAGCGCATGCGGGATGGAAGAGTAATAGTAAATTACGGCGGAATGTCGATATGTTTGTGGATTAGAGAAGCGCGCGCTGCGGTGACCTCCGCCAGAAAATTCCGACCGCGCGTACAGAGAAAACAACGAGGAGAGAGAGAGAGAGAGAGAGAGAGAGAGAGAGCCGGTCCGCAGGCTGTGATCGTCGATCAAACAGCTCGGTTGAAAAACACGCAAATCGAGGGCCCGGCCGACGACAGCATTAATAAAACAGGGGTGAGTGTCAGGCATGCGTGCGGTGTGCGAGCGTGATTGCGTGGAACGGAGCGGCACAGGCGGACGAAGAAAGAGAGAGACGGACGACAAACCGCCAAATGCGGATATCGAACACGGGTAGCAACGTTAGTCATTCACTTGGACGTGCCGCAGCTCACGCGTGTCTGCGCGCGGAAATCGCGCGCTAACATACACACGCGGTGGTTTCGCGCGCTGCAACAAGCCGCGTTAAGCCGCACTATCGCGCGAGCGCGCGCGATAGCGCGGCCCGATTTTATCAATCCTGTCGTGAGCCGTCTGTTGTTTGCCTTCTCATTGCGGCAACGGTATCTCGTTACCTGCAGCGTGTCGATATTAATAACAGAGAGCCGAGACGTGTATCCGGAAGGAAAGAACCGCGAAGGAAAGTTGCCGCGCGCTCGCGAGCACCCGGTGATCGCTTTTTCCGCGATCCCGGAGACTGAACGTCGGCTGAAATTCGCCGCGACGCGGGGAAAGCCGCCGGTGATTCGAAACGCCCGGTACGTGATCGTGCGAGAACCCGCTCAGCCAGCGCAATCGCCATTGCGCGAGGACACACGGCAGAATAACATTTTAGCGGAAGGTTTCGAGAGGCTGCTTGCTGCGAGAGATCCAACTCACCTCTTTGTCTTTGGCCTGCAGCTCCTGCTCGAGGTTGCTGTTGGGCGTCCTCCTGGGATTGCTGGCATCGTGCACTTGCTGTTGATCGTTCCCCTGCGGAGGTTGAGACAATTGGTGCCCTTCAGTCTTGGAATTGCTGTCATTCGCCGCGGCGAGTTGTTCCTTTAGCGCGGATACTTCTTTCTCCGCCAAAGTCGCTCTCTGATAACACAAGAAAAGAGAATAATCGGTATATCTCTCATGAGCGACGGCAATCACTTCGGCAATTTGCAGTACTTAGCGCGGTCGACCCGATGAGAAGAGACCGCCGACTCGAGCTCGCGATTCCCCTTTTTAATCTCATCCGCTCGATCAAATCCGCGCGATACACGAGGCCCTCGTCTTGCGTTCAATCGCAATGCGACGTCATTAGCGTTTGCGAGACACCGTATCGGAACAAGCGTGGCGCTTGTCGTCAGGTCGATACGACCTGAGTGCATCATGCAACTTTCTCACTCACGTGGACACTCTCGTAAGAAGTCGCTTTCAAGATTCATTAATAGAAAAACGGCGAATCTTGCCGTTGCCCCTTCGCCCCGTCCAACAGTGACAAAGGACAGCCTTCGACAGTAGAATGTAAGTAGTGTGCAATCGGCACGCTTATACACACCTCCAGAGATGTTTAATTCCGCGATGCAGTCGGAGAGTTAACGGCACAGACGATTATGGCTCACGGCTTGCGCTCCGTGTAAATTTCTCACGGCGGCGACGGCGACGGCGACGGCGGCGGCGGCGGTCCCGATCGTTAAATTACCGTCGCGGAACCGTGCGACGCGAAATCAATCAATTCCCGCCGACTGCACCTAATTTCGCGGTTGCGAAAAGCCGGCAAAAATAGAAACGACGGCACCGCGCGCGGCCGCCGCGCGAGACCGCTTCGTTATTCTCAGCGCAGGAAATAGCGGAGCGCGCGGCGCTTTCTTAAATCATGAGCACACATCGTGTCGCTCGTGCTCCGTGAGCTAGCTCCGTGAGTCCTTTTCTCTTTTTACGTTAGCGTAATTCGGGATGGCGCGCGGCCTGATGACTTCTCGCGTGCTACGTGGGCAGTCAGCCGTGCGACACGGTCCGCGTGAGACATTTACACGGCGCTCGCGGAAATTAACGAATGCGCCAATGGGCGATCGCCAATATGATCCTTCTCCTCTTCTCCTTCTCTTCTCGCCTTTTCTTTTCTTTCCCAATTGCGGAGATACATCCGTCACACGATCCGTCTTCCATCCGCCCGCGGCGCGGCGCGGCGCGGCGCGGCGTCTCGACGTTTTTCTCGCGCGGATTCGCGGCGTTCGTTGACACGCGCGGTGTAAACATAGTCGACGGCGCGGCGCGGCGTTTCAGTCACAATAATTAGGCTGCACACACGTTGCACGGGCGTGCGTTTCTGCCGAGAGACCGCTCTCGTGCATACCAGCGCGTAAAAGCAGCCCGCCGAGCGAAGGTGCGCGCAGCCCCTTGGCGCGCGGGACGGCGGAGGGGCCATTAACGACGGAATACTTTCGGCAGGTGCGTCTACTACCTTTGCTAGATCTGGAGCAAAGCGCCCGTTAATTAGCACGCGCTGAGCGACGTTACGACCGCGATGTTACCTTTTGGCGCCGACAGTCGAGCATGAACGACTGTCTCGAGCGCGTCGGAGACGTGTGACTCGAGCGGGAGCGGAGGCTTCTCTTAAATTACACTCCCGATCGGCAAGGGAAAAGAAAGAGAGAGAGAGAGAGAGAGAGGGAGGCGAGGGGGGGGAGAGAGAAGGGGAAGAGTCCCGCGTTGATACGAAAATAACGAAGGTATCGCCAGCGGCGAGCGGATTACCTTTTTCACAAACTTTCCCCATAAAGCATCTAATAAATATTGTTCGCCGCTCCGTTATTCCGGCTTGGATATTAATTATAGCAGCTTTTACATTCAAAGTAGCCCGTCGTCCCTTCCTCTCTCGGGCCGGCCTATCCCTCCGCTATATTCGCGACGTGTACACGCCGGATAGTTACCCTCCCGCACTTGTAATTCTTGTCCTCTTGCGCGACTCTTTCGTCCCTCTTTCTCTCTCTCTCTCTCTCTCTCTCTCTCTCTCTCTTTCTCTCTCTCTGTTTCCTCTCTTTTCCCCAATGTCCGCTTTATCCGTGTTCGCGGTGGTCCCGATAGGAAGGCGCCCAGGAAGGGATTCGGGATCGATTGCCCGAATCAAACAGGTTATACCGCTTCTGCACCGCACACCGCATCGAATCGGCAACCGGACTTGTTTCTACAATTGAACAATTGAACGTCGATGGCGCGACCGACGGTCATACATCAATTCGTTAGCATCCGTGTTACCCCGGCGATCCCGATTAATTATTGCCCAACTAGCGATTCGCTGTCTTCTCCTAAATTACAATTCGCGCGTGATCTACAGTGTGTGTGTGTGTGTGTGCGCGCGCGCGTGAAGCACGTGAAGGTGAATGAAAAGTCCCACGCGTATTTGATTGTATGAAACACACAAGCGACGGAGGGGGAAGGGGAGCGATAGACGTTGATCCGCAACGTGCGTTTTTCCTGGGGTTCCTCTCTTCCCAGCTTACGTAAACACGAATACTCGAGTGACGTGCGTGTGTGTATTATCGATGTGTATCGATCTGTCAATGTGTGACGTCTTATGAGACGCACATATGGCGTCGCGATCGGCAAATGGTCAGGAGAGGTGAGGACGAGCGTGAAACATGGACGGAGTCGGAGACAAGGGGGTGAGAGAGGGAGGGGGAGAGGGAAAAAGAGAGAGAGAGAGAGAGAGAGAGAGAGAGAGAGAAGGAGAGGCAGAAGCAGCAGGCTACGGCAGGCAAGTAATGACCCATTGTTTCCTGCAAAAAGCCTTGACGATGTTATCGATAATTGCGAAATGATACGGGAAGCATAAATACATATCCGAGAGCGAGCCGTAATATACGGCTGTTCCAATGGCGGATGCGTATCGATAGCTGCCGTCTGGTAGCATCCTGCGTATTTGTCACGTGGACACACGTCAGGAAACGCTCATGTGACGACGGGGGAAACCCCGAGGACTTGTGAGGCTGATTGAGAGAGGATCGAGAGACGAGATCGCCGATAACGATCGCCCGGGCGCGCGCGGGTCGTTACATTAGCAGCGGAAGTTGTTGGAGGATAATGGTTTTCTTCGAACGTGCCGACCGATCGCGCGCGCGCGCGAGAGATTCGAGCGGAAAAAGATTCGTTGTCGACGATAACTTGGCGAAGCGCCGAACGAGTGTATCGCGTCGATGCATCTCGTTATTATCGGCCGCTAAGTACTCGCCATCGTAAACAAAGTGCCGACGGCGATGCAAAAACGGCCATCGCTATTTCGCAATGAAACTACGTCGAGCGGCCGATTCGAATTCCTCCCGCCTTGTGCGCGCTCGCGTCGCCGGAAGTAACGTAGATGACGCAGCAGCGGTCGTTTGTAGAAAAAAGTGTCATGACGCGAGTGTCACACTATGAGCGCACTGAGTTATTAGTCTTTACTGAGGAACGATGCGCACGAGTTCAATCCTTCGATGTTTAGCGTCGAGCGACTCGTCACCCAAGCCAGGTGAAATATTGCCATTTGATTTGTCATTTGAAAAACTCTCTCTCTCTCTCTCTCTCTCTCTCTCTCTCCGGAGTTACACACGGGAGCCTATCGAGCGTGTATTCGAGCGGCCGTTGATGAGATTCCGAATATTTCGAGACGGATAGTAATGATACCATTAGTAACGAGATCGCGATATCGAGCATAATAGACCAGCGGTCGTATAATGCGAGCGGAGGAACTTTACATTGTCCTATAGCGAGAACATGAATATCCCCGTTATAGTTTCGTAGAACAATCGATCGCCTTCAACGTGACTGATGTCCGCTAAAAACTGACGTGGTTCGGTTCGGTTCGGTTCTCTGTCTATACATCGAATCGCGCTCGCTCCGACCGAGGGAACGCGCTGCGTCTCCTAGGCCGTGTGCGGCCTGGCCTGGCTTGGCCTGGCCGTGGCGATATTTTACCGTCGAATTCGTAATTACTTTAATTGGCCCCAGATGCTAATTAATGACCTAAACATATGCCGCGTTATATAGATCCGGCAGCCGATAGGGCAAACCTATACGCCGCGCGTTACCCCGCAGCGATCGCAGCCATCGGGGTGAGAACGCATGTGTTTGTCATTACATGCGCTACGGCGATTTTATCGCTTCTGAATAACATCCTCCGCCACCCGCCGCCGCCTCCCGCCCGCCCTTCCGCCCTGCACCTTCTGCATCGGACCCGGAAAGCGTCGATCGACGAATTACAAAGTGCCCCCCGGTTTTTAATATCGCCGTCCCGTTGAGAGAGCAGAAGCGCCCGTTAAATCACCAATGGCTTTCCGACTGGTCATTCAGTTGCAACGTCGCGATTGATTTCATCGATTCAGCGAGCATATCGAGCTTGAGAATGGTGAGAGAGAATCGCGTAGCTTCGAATTAACGTAAATTACTCGAAGAATTCACTCCTTTTTGTCAACGTCGAGGAACAAAATGACAAATTTGCCGTTCACGCTCATCGCTCGCGGCGAACGGTAAAAGTCATGTTAACGGAAACGGAAATTTATCGCCGGCAGCGGCAGCGGCTGCTGCGATCCGCGAAGACTCGCGGAATTGACAAACGGAACGTAACAAAGTACTCGCAGCGGGTTTCATGGCACCATCGAATTACTTCGTTACAGACGTACGTCGAGCCGCTCTCCCGCGACTATCATTACGAGATGCTACTGGCAGCAGCCGCCGTTTCGATTCGATCGTCCGACAGCATCGATTACACCGACCGCCTTGCAGCCTTGCAGCCCCGAGGAGGCAAGGTGGGCGTCGCGATGTGCGCCGGCACTTCGATCGAGTCGATCGCCGTTGCTGTCAAGTCGAGGCGTTTCGTCCCTCCCGACCTCGACGCTCGTCTTACACCCCGTTTGCAAATTGACGGTTATCCGACTTCCATGGTGCCCAGCCGCGCTGATCGATCGGCAATTCACCGATTTGGCATGGAGGAGGGAATCCGCCGACTTCCTGCACGCCGCGCTCGGGCAAGAACTCCCCGGGATTACCCTCCTCCGCCTGCGCCTACACGGTCACGCATTTCGCGCGATTGCCGCTCTATTCGCGGACGAAAGTCGAAAGAATCGATCCCCGAC